GGGGAGGGGGCAATGCCCTTCCAGCGGCATCAGGGTCTAAAGCTAAAACTGAAGAAAACTCTCCTCCGCAGCCCCGTCGCCCTTTCCCCCTCAGGAGCCTCACTCTCCCCTTCCCCTCCTCCTTCCACTCGTCGCCTCTGCCCTGCCCCCCACCCCGCCCCTAGGAGGCCGTCCTGAATCCGCCTGTGCCTATAATCTCTTCCCTCTCTCGAGTTTCCGTCTCAACCCAAATTCTTAGTTTGCTAATTGTCTTCGCTCTGTTTTGAGCCCTAAGACTAAACTGGCATCCTCGGTCCTTGTCTTCTCCCACCTGTCTGTACTCCTACCCCGTTATCCGAGGTGGTCATAGCAATCCCCCAGCCCCTCCCTCCCCCGCCCTCCCCCCGCCCCTCATTTCGTCCAGTACTCAGCCGAGCCAAGTTCTAATAGTTGTTATGTAAGACGGTGGTGTGGCGCTGTCGTTCTCTCTGCTACAGTTGTCTTCTGTGAGGTGCTTTTTGGCTAATTTAAAATGCCTATTCGATTTTAGTGGCAGTTCTCGATCGACTCATTAAAAACGTAATAAACTTCAAATCCATCAAATATGGGAAATTATCATTAGCTTTTGAATGCTTGACATCTGATAAGAAACTCACTTAACTACTCCATTCCAAACTACTAAATTGCGAACGGTTTTATACCGGAATCCGGAGGGGCGATTACATATATCAGTGGTGTTCTCTGTTATATTTAGACATTTTTTTTTTGTGATTTTTTAAAGGTCTCTTGTAATGCCATTTTATACGGCCTTTGTTATACTGTGATCTATCACTGTCTATAAATTGTTTTGTTGTGGTTTTGATACAATGAAAAAGCTGGTTTCGTTTCTTTTTATGCGCTCTTGCATCTTATGCAAATGCAAAAATGCATATTGCCGAGAGGTTGTTTGTATACATGTTGTGTATGTGTGTGTGTGTGTGTGTGTGTGTGTGTGTGTACGTATGTATTTGAAGGCGAGTGAATTTTGTCATCCATTTTCAGCTCAGCAACCAGGAAAACCAAGAGTTTGTAAAAGCATATTCTCACCCAATCTGCTATCTTCCCATTTCAAAAACAACGCCATGCACGTAGGAATATCAAGGATGGGCGCCTGAAAGAGCCCAGGTAGAAACGCATCAGACTTGCCGGTGCGATCATACGCCTTTGCACCAGAATTGAAGTACTTAGATCATTAATTACATAAATGGTTGTTGCTTTACACTGCCTTTTGCGCTCATTGGCGTAAGTCACCATAGATTCTGCATAAAGTAAATAAACAATTTTCAT